CGAACTATGTTTCGCTTATCATGACATCTCGTCATCCACTCAAGTTGATACGTGGGAGTCGATGCTGACAGGGACTTACGGGCGAGTGTCACGGCGAAACGTCAATTCGTGGTTGGCCCGGATCATGGCAAGAGGCAGGACACTCAGATACGAAAAAGCTGAACCCCCCGCCATCCCCCTTGCCCCCCCTGAGATCCCTCGAGGATCACCCCCTTGGCAGGTTTCAGGACATGCGCCCGACAACCTGGTCCATCCTTTGAACCTCTCCACTTCGATCACTGCACCCCTTATCCACAACACGGAGATGAAGGTGGCTTCGGCGCATGGGACGATAGCGTGCCTTACCTTGAGTACCATGTACCTGTTGGATGCTGTGAATGGTGTTCGTATAAGACTCCGGCGAGTATCGCCAGGACACGAGAGTTCTGCTCTTTTCGTTGTCCATCACCAAAAACATCCAGTGTCTTTCACTTTAGCTACAGCTGTTGCTGGCATCCTTCTTTTTTTGTTTTGACATTCTTTTTCAAACAACTTTCGTTCTTCATCACGATACCTGGTAGATCCAGTCCATTCTTTTCAACAACTCGAAACTTCCCACAAGTTCTTGACCCCATTTTACCCAGATACCAAGCAACACAGCAAGTCTCTACGACAAAATCACCAACAGAATCGCAAAAATGGTCTCCAAGCTCTCTGCCCTTCTTGCCATTGCGGCTACTCTGCCCACGGCTTTCGCTCACTACAACTTCGAGTCCCTCATCGTCAACGGCGCGCCTAGCGGAGGCTTATGAGTTTGTCCGCCGCACCACCAACTCCAACTCGCCCATCGAGGATGTCACTTCCCCCAACATGATCTGCAACCAGGGCGGCATCGACGCCGCGATCATGGCCGCCACCAACACCAAGACGGTTCAGGCCGGTGACCAGCTCGGCTTCAAGGTCAACTCGGAGCTCGGCCACCCCGGTCCCCAGGCCGTCTACCTCAGCAAGGCCCCAGGCGCCGCCCAGGAGTACAAGGGCGACGGCGACTGGTTCAAGATCTACGAGCTCACCTACTCGGAGATCAACGAGCAGGGCATCCAGTGGGCCACCTTCCTGAACAACCAGGGCGTCCACAACTTCACCTTCACCCTGCCCAAGGAGCTCCCTGATGGCGAGTATCTCGTCCGCGCCGAGCACACGGCTCTCCACGCCGCCGGCGCCATCGGTGGCGCCCAGTTCTACATGGGCTGCGCCCAGATCAAGGTCGAGGGTGGCGGCAACGGCACCCCCTCCCCCACCGTCAAGTTCCCCGGCGCCTACGACGGCACCGAGCCCGGCATCCACATCGGCATCTACTACCCCGCCCCCACGGAGTACAAGATGTTCGGCCCTGCCACCTGGCCCAACGCCTGCTCCGACCACACTGCCAACCTCGACGGCCAGGAGTCCGACGGTGACTGCACTGGCGACGATGGCGCCGCTGCTCCTGCTCCTGCTCCCGTCCCCGTTCCTTCTCCTGCTCCTCCTGCTGGCGGCAACGCCACCGTGCCCGTGCCTCCTCCCGCCGCCGGTGGCGACGACGAGCCCACGGCGCCCGAGGAGACCGTTCTCCCTGCCCCCGTCGAGACCGAGTACCCCCTCCGAGCCCGAGTACCCCGTCCCCGCGCCCACGGAGCCCGTCTCTCCCCCTTCGGCCACGGAGCCCGTCACCGCCCCGCCCGCCGATGGCGAGGAGGACACCGGCTGCCCTGCCACCCGCCGCCGCCGCGCCCTGCGCAAGGCTCGCAAGGCCCGTCTCGCGCGCCGCCAGGCTCGCTTTGCGTACACTGTCTAAGTTGCGTAGAGACGGTGGTGCTTGTGTCTGATGCCCCGCAAAGGCGTGTTTGCATAGGGCAGGCGAAGAAAGCGCACAACTTCTTTGGTGGGA